AGTAATAAGGTTGATTTTTTTCATTCATCGGTAATTAGATACTACAAACAGTAAAAATACATCTCACTGAATCATATAACGGAACTACGATTCTATTTAATACCCAATTCACGGAGTTACGAATTTAACATTTGCATTGCTGTGCGTCATTTCAGAGTATTAATATTCCAAACAATGTTAATTACGTAATCAATCATATAATGTAAAGTACATCGTTTTAATATAACATTTATAAAATGATTAAAATTTCATGCAATCTTAATGCTTTGTTGATGTTAATTCATGAAAAAATTATTAATTTAATTCCCTTTTATCTGGAATGCTCTCCTTTAAGATAGGGTTCGATTAACCCACGTTTTAATGATAAATAGTATTCATAAATATGTTAGACTGAATGTACACGTTATGCAATTATAACGAATTAAAATATACAAAATATATATTAAATATGTACTATTGAAAATAAAGACAATATGAATCATGCTATTATTGTTGAGTATTACTTACTCTAATTTGTGTTTCAATACGTAATTATTACTTTTTTCTATATTTTTAACTGATGCCGAGGGGTAATGTCACAAAATCTCATTAGAGTGCACAGCTGCATTATTTAGAATGTTACTCATTTTAGAAAGCGTATCAAATATTTGACCCAATTAAAATGATTTCGAGTAATTCCTCTAATTTGGAGCTCTTCAATAGAATATATTTCGTTTTTAACTAATCGTCCCAGTTAGTTCATTCTACGTTGAATTAAATATTCGAAAGGAATGGCAGATAACTGGTTTCTCTATTCTAATGAGGCATGTGCCTCCGAAACGAATCATCGGTACGGTGAGTGAATCAAATTCGTTCTATTATTACGATCCGTTGACGAGATGCAATGGCAAAAGAAGGGAATGAGTCACTTGCTGACTTGTGACACACATATGCGAATACAGCCGCATGCATGTGTAGCAGAGTCATTCGTATACAGGGTGTATCATAATGTGTAACCATAATTTCAATAGCAAAATGATTACATATAAATATTAAAGGTATGAGAAAGTTTCCAACATTTTTTTGTTTTTTCCATTTTTCAACAGGTTCAACTTGGCAATCAGCGTAAATTAAAATAAAGTAGAGCACCATTGTGTACAAAGCAAATACGACACAGGATTTCGAATGGAATGTCTTTTAATAATTCATTTAAATTTACCTTCTAAAAGTTAGTTTATGACTCGTCAGTTAATCTTCCATTTGGAAAACAGTGTTTACATAATAGTCAGCAAGGTCGTATAAGAGATACGAAGCTTTGCTTATAAACGGTTGACTGAAGAGCTCAGTTTGTCAAAAGAATTATTGGAACACAGGCTGAGTGTATTACTTAGAAACAGGGTCATATGGAATAAAATTTTTTTTTTTTTTTTTTAAATTGTTTATGTGTGATGAATTATCACCGAAGTTATGTCCACGGATTATGGCACACACTGTATGTCACGAGTTTCTGCTTAAGCCTCACATGGCCAATGAGAATCATCGTAGTAGTCATCGTTGCACTCGTTTCTTTTCCGTTCAGCAAAACATGCAAATCACGTATCCAGTAAATATTTACTGGAAGGATCACGAAAATAGTGGCACACCCAGCTTCTATAAAATACTTGTAATTTTATTTAAAAAATGATATTTTATCGCAGAGTAAATACGAAGATTAAATGAGGACCGAATTCAGAGGGGGGCAAAGGGGACAAATGTGGACACTTTTGATATGACATAATATGACAAATTTTTGGCATTGCGTAAAGAAAAATTTATAATTAGAAATGTTTAAAATATACAAAAATTTCATGAGAAATTTGCAGTGTAATGTAAGGCAAGGTTAAAAATTATTATTGAACAAATGGACCCAAATCTACCGTAAATATATAAAATAATTTGTTATTACACGGGTGTAATTAGGCAAGGGCCTGGTTTCCAAATTTCCAGAATTCCAAAATCCCAGATTTTCCAAATTTCTAAATTTTTAATTCTTTAAGGGAGTTTACTCACCCTAGAAAAAGTTCTAGTTATATCACTGAGTACATGCTATCCTGTTAAATAATATAAATTTTCTTTTTAATCTTCTATAACAGTAAAATTATTTGAAATTGAAAAATGGATAAATTAACAAAAATTATTAATTTTATTAGGTGTGCTATCCTTTTCTCGCGAACTGTACGCGAATTATATTACAACGATAAAGTGTTGCTAGTACGATGCTTTAACTCGGTTCAAAAGTCAATGCTTTTTATTATTATTAAAAGGGAAAACCCCTCATAATGTTGCCATTCAGACACTTACATGTCGCGGCGATATCGAAACCCATAAATGTAATGGTAAATTGCTAACGATAGGCTGGCTTGTTTTTTTCTAATAACAGCCATCTATCTTTCGTGTAAGTTGCACTTTTAAACTTGCACAAATGGAAGAAAGATAATTAATTCAACGATACCAGTAACGGTCAGGAAGTGTCTAACACTCGGCCATAAGAACTGTCGATTCACTGTGCCGCATAAATATTCATTGCCACCAGTTTTGTCGCTCAATCGAATAAACATGTGCTTGTTTATCGATGCACAAAATGACTTTAACACTAGTTCCTAAGATCATTCACGTCGTTGAACGAGTCACTAATGACGGACTATAAACATCTATCCAGTTTAAGCACGTAAACGTTGAACGTGATAACTTCTCTTCCCAATACGAAGACAAATTTATTGCAATTCATATTAATTTGCTTAAAAATTTAAAGATTTAGCAAAGAAAAGTGTTGTGACTTTCTTTACAAACACTTTCTCGGCAGATTTAGTTGGCATAATTTCAAAAGTTTGTAATTAACATAACCTTGACCCGTTTTTAAGTTCTCCACAGAAAACATTTTTATATGATACTAACAAATGTAAAAACAATTGTTTTAAAATTTGTCCAGTTATTACATAATGCGACATATGTAATTAGGTTTAAAAATAAGTTTTGTCGATCCCTGTGTACCGCAACGTTTAAACACTGATGATCCAGTACGCGATATCGCGTGATCGGAAATTTAGGGTTAGGATATTTCCAGTTCTTGTGAAATCTTCGCATATTATTGACTTTTCCGACTTTCAATTCTGATACTTTTTTACGCAGAATAATCTGAGGAATCTTCCTCTAATCGTAAGACTAAAAATAGGCAGAAAATAAAATGCGTTTTAATCGGGGGTTTCACAGTGTTACATAGTTGCGTCACAATGGATCTTGCATCTACCATTCGATGGTTAAGTACATCACACATTACAAAGATTTAAATGTAAATTTCATCTTTATTTTGAAGAAGTGCTTAACTGTTTCGAAAGTCGGACACTCCCCTTGTTAGAAAACGAGACCGTGAAATACAATGTAATACGATACCTCAAGAGAGGTTGATGAGTCAGTGTCATTGATGAGGATTCAATATTCCGTTTTGAAAGAAGAGACGCTTGTTTTGACGACTCTGTACACCATGTATCCATGAGAAAACTATATTACCTACATCCCTTTTTATACAAAGGGTGCTAAAGAATCGATCTACTTTTAACAAATGCAGTGCTATTTAAACGAACAAGGCATTTTCTAATATCATAATTTATTAGATTTTAGTACTTTTCACATTTATCGTTTTCAATAGAATGAATTATTTAATCATATAATTTTTAAACGAAAGGGTTTCATATATTAGAAGAATAATCATTTTTAAACGAATTTAAAAAATAAAGAAAATATAGATTACAATTATTTTCTACAGTTTAGAAAATAAAAAAAAATGAAATACAAAATTAAATTAAAATTGAGGCTCTCTTAATGGATCACCGTCCGGAGGTTAAGTGTATCTTTTGATAATAAAGAAATCTGAGCATGGGTGAACTGAAATATCCAAAACACTGTTAGTATTCAGTTATATTGTATGTACCGTGTTTTTGTATCGCAGATATAATTCCAAGCATCTAAGTAAGCCTAAGAGCCTGATTAGAAAAACGGTGTGTGTATATTAGTACCATGTTTACTGAAATCTAATGTCATGAACGTTTATGTTCTACGATTCTACGATAAAATAAAATTCAATGTATAAAAATTGAAAAGAAGAACTAAAAAAAAAAAATCTTTAACTGACAGTAAAATGAAAATTCGCAAAAAGAATTAGAATGACTAGAAATTATTATCATCAAGAAAGAATATTAATTTATTATTACATATTATACTATTTAAATTAACAGTCTAATAACGTCACTGTATCGTCATTGTCTTTTGTTATGCTTTGTTTCCAAATAATTTTTTATAAAGTCAGTTAACGTTTTCTAATTTCTAATTGCTTTTATTCATAAATTGTAAATTAGAACACGAAATCGAAGTACTTCTAAAATCAATTGTTGTTACATTTAAATTCAGTGAAATTTTTGAAAGCAATAACACAGCTATGGATAAATCGTTACCATACTACAAGAGAAGAAAAGGATTTAACCTTGACCTTTATTAGGTTTTCATTCAAAGCAATGTTTTCGGGTTATTACCTGCTATCCTACTATGAAATATAACCGATCGTTGAAAAATACATAGACACTTCTGGCCTACTGGTTCAAAATTTAAAAACAAAGTCAATGTGTCAAATGATAAATCAAATATTCAAATATTCAAAAAATGAAAAAGGTTTATCAGAATAGTATGCTTTTCCAAAACATTTGTAATAACTGTGAAAAGTTATAAAATGAAACAATGCAATTTTTGGTTTTCTAAAATATTATTAAATATTGAATTTACACTTTTTATATTGAATTTTTAAACCAAGCTTTCATCGCTTTAAATTCTGGTGAATATTTTAAAAAAAGGTATAGGTCCGTTGTGTCTTTGATACGTTACTGATTGAATCAAACGCAGTGCAGACCGCGCATGCGCGTTCAACCTCGACGTTGGTTGGTTGAAACCGTATTGCTTTCAAGTTGGCTGTTCTGTCAGTTCTTTGTTCTCTAGTGGTAACGGTCGACATTGTCAGCGTTTTCACTTTCTTGGCTGGGCGGTCCCATTCGCCTTTAGCAGTTACAACGAAGACAAGTTGTTACTTCGATCCGTTAGATTCTACCGGCGTTTATAATCTTCGTTCATATATCTTCAACGAAAATTAAAAGTAAGTGTCATTAAATATCACTTTATTTTCAAGTCAATATTTTTCGGCCATATTTACCGGCAACCACACTGCTTTCTTTTACTGTCTTCGCACGTGTTCTACCTACTACGCGTTAAAAAATAAGAATATACATTGTTAATACTAAATGACAGTTGTATTTACCTCAGTGAAACATTATCAAATGCAGCAGGGATTAATTAATGTTTGTTCAAGTGGTTGTTGAGATTTTCGATAACGCAAGCATTTTTCCAATAAAGTAACATTGTACAAGACTGCATTATAGATTGTTAAAACAAAGAAAAAAAGACGTTTGAATACTTTGTTTGATAGTATTTTGTTTTATTTTTTAAATTTGGGAAACGTGATTATTACCAACGCAGAAGCTGTTATATATTACTGTTTGTATCGATTTTTCTGTTACAATGTCTTCGCGAACTATGCTTTGTGCTACGATGTCCTTGTAAACCGGTTTTTAAAAGCAGAAAATATTCTTAAATATTGCCAATTCGAAAATTCATATTCATTTCAAGTTTTCTAAAATAATATTTGGAAATTGTCTTTCTTTTAACAATAATTTTAACAGATCGTTAAGTTATAAGAATTATAATAAGCTAAAATTAAATTTTATATAACTTTAAAGTAAAATTATAATTATTTCAAGGTGAATTAAAAAATGGATCAAGATGATTGGGGTGTACCTATTAGCTCTTCCACTGCAGAGGACCTATCCGCTGTAAGTAGATCTATCTTGTTTGAACTTAAAAATTACAGCATGAAAGTAATATAAAACTTACTGTATGTTTATTGAATTAGTTTGAAGAAGGAGGACGTAGCTATGGAAAGGGACGTGGCTTTGTAGCCCAAAATAATAACAATGATGATTGGGATTCTAAAAATAAAAACTTCAATGGAAGAAATAGCAACGAAAACTTTGATAATGAAGACAGCAACTGGCAGTCCCAAAATGAAGGGGAACATTTTCGAGGGGGTGGTAGAGGAGGCGGTAGAGGTAGAGGAGGTTTCAGAGGAAGAGGCGGAGGTAGAGGAGGAGGCGAAGGTGGTCGTGGAGGTGGACGCGGTGGATTTAGGAATAGAAACGATGATGAAAATAGTGGTTATAAGAAATATGAAAATTATGAAGATGCAGATGATAATGATCACAATAACAGGGGTAACGGACGGAAAGGTTCACGAGAAGATGGCAACGACGACAAAGAAGAACCTCAAAAACCAAAAGAAATATATATTCCACCCGATTTGACCAAAGATGAATCGGTTCTGTTTGGAAACGAAGTCTCAGCGGGCATTAATTTTGATAAATATGATAATATTGAAGTTCAAGTTAGCGGAGAAAATGTACCGTCTCCTATAGAAAGTTTCCAGGCAGTTGGTCTGAGAAATATTGTTCTAGAAAATATTACAAAATCGGGATATACGAAACCCACTCCCGTGCAAAAACATGCTCTACCTATTATAATGAGCGGTCGTGATTTAATGGCATGTGCACAAACAGGCTCAGGGAAAACTGCTGCATTTGCAGTTCCTATTATAAATACATTATTAGAAAAGTCTACTGATTTAGTTATAACTGGATCATACTGTGAACCACAAGTTGTCATCGTTTCGCCCACTCGTGAACTCACTATACAGATATATCAACAAATTGTTAAATTTGCATTGCGTTCAATTTTAAAAACAGAAGTTGCATATGGTGGAACGTCTATTAATCATCAAGGAGAGAAACTTTCTGCGGGTTGTCATATACTCGTAGCTACACCTGGCAGACTATTAGATTTCCTAGACAGAGGAAGGATTAGATTTTCCTCTGTTCGATTTCTCGTATTAGATGAAGCGGATCGTATGTTAGATATGGGATTCTTACCCAGCATCGAAAAAATCGTCGATCACGAGTCTATGGTTCCTCTTGGCGAAAGGCAAACGCTTATGTTCTCTGCTACTTTCCCGGATGAGGTGCAAGTGTTGGCAAAAAGATTTTTACACGATTATTTATTCTTGGCGGTTGGTATTGTGGGTGGTGCATGTTCGGACGTGGAACAACGCTTCCATGAAGTACAGAGGAATAAAAAGAAGGACATGCTTAAAGAAGTTTTAGAAAGAGAAAAGGACAACGGCTCCTTGAGTGGTACTTTGGTGTTCGTGGAAATGAAGAGGAAGGCAGATTTCATTGCTGCTTTCCTGTCTGAAAATAATTATCCTACTACCAGTATTCACGGCGACAGATTGCAGAGGCAACGAGAAGAAGCGTTAGCCGACTTCAAAAGCGGAAGAATGTCTATTTTAGTAGCAACGGCTGTTGCTGCCAGAGGTCTAGACATCAAAAATGTATCTCACGTTATAAACTACGACTTGCCAAAAGGAATCGATGAATATGTTCATCGAATTGGAAGAACTGGTCGTGTAGGAAATCGAGGAAGAGCAACATCATTTTTCGATTCAGAGGATGATGCACCACTACGAGGCGATCTTGTCAGAATATTGAAACAAGCTGGACAACCTGTGCCGGACTGGTTAACAGGTGGCAATTCGAGTAGAAGCTTTATGCCCGGAAGAGGCAATAGATTCGGAGGACAAGATATCAGAGGAGTAAGTAAATTTTCCATTACCATACTAAAGTTATATATATTCACTATTTAGAAAACAATACTTAATGTGTATTTATTTGTGAAGGTTGAAGAAGACGGGGGAGGAGCAGCATATGGCGAAGAATCGTTTGCGACTGCTGCGCCGGTTGAACCAGACGAACAGTGGTAGAAAGCTTTGTTCCTTTATTATTATTTTATAGCGTTTTACTAGAAAACGATAATAAGCTTTATTTCTTTATCTACTAAGTCAGCCGTACAGCGTTGATCGTTCATTAAATTTTCATATATTTAACTTTAATATAAGAGGTCGTCGATTTACAAAAGTATGTCGTTTTTTTTTTAAGTTGATTTTTTTTTTTGTTTTATATGTTTTGATTACGTAATGACGCGTTCGAAGGAAACGTAGACTGTATCGCATACCTCTTTATTAGATATAAGTTTCAAGATGTGAAATAGCGCAATGTTACCGTCGTTGGTGAGAAGACATTAACTTTAAGACATGACAAATAATTTGTGAGAACCGTTCCACCTATATCTTTATGTATAGGTTACTGTACTTTATCGATCGTACAAACGTTAGTTTTTAAGAAAGTTAAAAAATCGAAACAAAGTCGAAAATACCGTATTTTATTTTATAAATAAACTTTATTTTATACGTTTCATTTTATAATAAAATACTCCAGTTGGAAAGTGTGTATTTTTTTTTCTTTTTTTTAAATATCTTTTGATACTGATTTGATTGAAAAATTTAAATTATCTAAAACAGTTTCATGGTCACGGGATTAGTATAAATAATGTAATTAAAAGTTGTACATACCGTCGTTCATGGCCATGTCCATCAGGTGCAGGTCCTCGTCATTTAGAAGGGACGAAAGGAAACCGTCGGTTGTTTGATTTATCGAATCGGAAGTTGGTGCATGATAATACATCATATCAGCTGGTTCAGATTTATAAGTTGTTCCACTATCGGCGCCAATTGGTTCGCTACTGTTCGTTAAATTCATTGATGTTGCCACCGCTGAACCTAGGTTTGAAGACCCACCTGTGGCAATGAGTATTTTAGTTTTCAAATGTTCAATTATACAAATTTCTACTTAATTGTGTCTATAATTAACAAAAGTGGGCATAATTCTTTACTAAAATCAAATATTTGGTATCGTAAATAAATGTATTTCGGTAATTAATTGAAATAATTGCAATTATTATTTGGATAAGATGCTAGTTTATAGAACTTCTTGAAATAAATTTTTGGAAATATTTTTCAAATCAACTCTTCTTTCTAAATCTAAGATCACTGAATTTTTTAAATGTGTTAAAATTAAAATAAAAAAGGCATTATATTTGAAACAACCTGATACTCTGCACTTTCGTTATTTGAGCTGCCCATTTGGCAAATTGATTAACTCCAAAAAACAAAAAATATAAAAATTGATAAAGTAATTAAAATAATAAAAAATGCAAAGAATGTATTTAATCACTTTGGTCTATGAACATGGTCTATAAATTTTCTTGCAACAAATGTAAAGTAAAAAGTACAAAAATATTTTCAATGTTCTGATAAAAGTGAAAAATTATAAAAAATACTTACCAACATTGTGATAGGGGTTCGTAGAATTTAGATCACCCACAGGTGGAGCCAATGTGGCATTGTGAAGTAATACATTACGTTGTGCTTCGTAATGACTGTGACTTATACCGTGCCCTGGGTATCCAGGATGTGCAGGATGTGCAAAATGTTCCGGTGCACCGGGTAGCGATAGTAAGGATGCCAAATCCTGCCATCGTTGTTCCATGCTCATAGCACGCATAAATGGCATGCGACCCTAGACAAACAAAATATTATTAGCAACAAATTTTACCACTCTGTTTCCTGAAAAACTATCAAAATGTATTATTTAACAAGGATCAAACTTTTCATTCATTTTCCAATTGTTAATATAGAAACTTTTTACAACAACGTCTTAAAAGACATGATGTTAAACTAAACTTCAACCTGTCTAATCATAAATTCTAAATAGAAGTACTGGCTATTTTTCTTTTAATATTTTAACCATTCAACAGAAAAAAATATAATGAAATATTCATCATCTTCAGGGACTGTGTTTTGATTAAACAATATAGGGTTATCCAAATTGAGTGTCGCATCTTCAAATTGAAATAAAACGCAAAGTATGTGATTTTTGTATGGTTTCTTTATTTTAACACAAAGCCTACTGTATGACATTAATACTAGAACTACCGACGTTTGATGCACCTTAATTTCTAAGTTGAAAATAATACAGAAAATTAAATAAATACGGAATGAAACATTATTTAATATATATATCCATTCTTTATCTCGACAATAGTCAACGTACATTCCAGCAAAAATATCTTGATAAAATTTATAATTTAAAATAAGAAACTGGAAACCAGTTATTTTTACCCCTTTGGTAGTTCTAGTGTTAATTATTATCAAAGATAATATTATTCCTTGGCTTTTTTCACAAGCCTGATGCATTTCACCCAATTTTCCATTACATTTTCACACAACTGGCATTCAATTTCATCAATGGCGTCTATGATTTTGTTTCTCAGCTCGTCAATAGTCTTTGGATTGTTGGCGTAAACTTTACTTTCCAAAAACCCCATAAAAAAAGTCTAATGGTGTTAAATCATCCAATCTTGTTGTCTCCTCCTCGTGAAAAATGACTCGTCATTAAATTTGGTCAAACGTATCGAGCTCGCGAAAAACAGCGGAGAAGGACCCTTGAATGATATTGTCTTTCATAATTAATGTAATAAAATAGACTTTTTATTAAAATAAACAAACCATACAAAAATCAGATACTTTGCGTTTTATTTCAATCTGAAGATGTGACACTCAATTTGGATAACTCTATAGTTTGTGTCTGCATTTTTTATACGCTCTATACTACAATGCTTTCACAAATAGTACAATTTGTAAACTATGAAAAATGTACGTGTTACGTGTACCATCCTGTACATCCACCTACAGAATACGTCAGTTTGAAGGATCCTGAACCTGTCAAATGTCAACTCGGTGGGTGTTTAAATTCTGGGGAAGAGGAAACCCTGCTGATCCGAGGTGTTGGCCACACACTAGGACCGTCAAGATATTAATGATTCTAGTACTGCATCTCAAACATAATGTATGCATGTCGATTGTGATCGGGTGTCAAACTGCTTGTCAAAATATAAAAACCACCAGTGAGAACCATTTTTTTTGTTTTTCATATCATTTCCATATAGGTAATCAAAATAACAGTGAAAATAACACTGGATGTATATAATCTCAAACTTTAGGGTGGCTGTGTGATTTCCTGTATAAAAGTGGGGACCAGGGCTGTAGCCCTCTTTAGATCACCCGTTGAATATGAAAATGAACTATTCCTATGTCTTAAGAATTAGAGCTTCAATGTGACTTACAGCAATTGTCCATTTTCATTGCTCGGTAATGAAGGTGTTTAAACCAGCATAACTGATCGTAAAATGATATAGTTATGCAGAGTAAAGTATCTGTAAAAGGTTCATTGGCACGGAAGGTCGAGCAATTGTTGGAACGCGTAAGTGCGGTAGTGGCCAGTGGCGCTTAATGCACGGTGGTATTGTCGCTAATGCATTTGGCTGCAAGAAGAAGATGAATGAGGAAGCTGGCGTAGCACGAATCCGACGCGATTGTTGTTCGGGTGCATCAATCAGTCGCCAGTGCAATCTGTCGAGCAGGACGCCTTTAAGGTGATTCTCGCTTGTCAGCGCATCTGTCGGCTGTAGGCTACGAAATATAGGACGACGTGTTTGTTCCGTGACGATTTGTCCCGTACTGAGCGCGCGGATTTCTAATGGCGCTCGGCTTTACGCTCGTTCCGTTTCGATGTAACGCTCATGATTGAGCCAATGCGAAGCAGAAAAAAAAAAAGGACAGTTGCCGGTACTTATACCGTTTCCAAGAATGGCGAAGAGAATTTGACGCGCACACCAGACGCCAGTTCACGGTGCTTAAACAATTTCTCATGGTATTTGTGCAAGTTCTGGAGATCGCTGCTAAGTCTATCAGCCGGTTGTTGCACCTTCGGCAAGTATCGTTTCTATTAACTTTTACATTTTTCGAGGATCTTTCTTTAACCCTTCAACAGTGTTCTCCTTTTAATGCGAAGTCAAAACGCTGTTTTCATAAGCATTTTTTTCTAATTTACTTAAATTTCGTGAAAATTGTATCCCTCCAGCTGCAAGGTCCTCAATTCGAGTCGAAAATAATGATCAATCAATCACATTATATATGCGATTACGTGATTTATGTTATTGAAAAAAGTACCTACTAAAATTTTATTTTACAATGTAAGTTAATTTTTTCAAGATTTTATAACTCAATCATCTTAGAATTTCCATCTGGATTCACCCCTGAACCTAACATTCTTTTCGATCCTCGATCGCTTACCTACTTTTTACTCTGTCACATCCGCTCATGTTTTCGTACGTGACTGCCAATAAAGCTCGTTTCTGTCACGAAAGTTGTGAATCAAAATATTGAAGCACAGGGATTTGATCCCTCGCACTTTAGAGCCTATAAAAAAAAATATTTTGTCTCCCACATATCCATCATTTCCTTTCATATTTCAAGCTGTTTATATTAGTTATACACACGTTTACATTTACATAGTTCGTTCCTCAATTTCAAGAAAGAGAAAAAAAAATATTACAATTAAATTATGTTATAACTATAAGTCGTTATATACTGATTTAAACCACATCTAGGTTAGGAATTACTTAGAAAATAATTGATGGATAGAAATCGTATTAATTCTATTTATAGTTCTATGGATAGCGTATCTGGAAAATATCTTTAGACTTATGGAGAATCTTGATGATTGCACAAACAGGAAAATTCGTTTCACACATCTTAGATAGCCCATACCGGCACGCATTATGCATTTCACAGTGCATAAGTCCAGCAGCTGCTTGGAATATGACGAACGGAACGGACTGTGATGTCCCGTAGCGTTTCTTGGTTCTTCGGGAAAATTGCTCGATCGTCTTGCATAGATACAAATGCGCGTTAAGAATTCGCTAAAAACTGGAATTTCCTTGTAAAATTGTCGCGACATACGAAAAACGTGAAAAAGTTTCGTAGCGAAATGGAATTGTTCGTTCTTTGAAGAAAAGATCATCGTTTCTGCTCTGCTGATGGACGAAGCGGAAAATATCTTTTTGAAGTGTATTTGATGTAAAAGTGAATCATCATTGTATTAATCATTAACCCTCTATACCTAAAGAAATCATAGATCATCTTTAACGATCAAAAACACAGGAGATATAACCTAACAGCCAATCAAATCCAATCCTAACCTATAACTTAATTCCACAAATATTCTGTATCTCATAATGAGATACCCAAGCAATGTTAGGTGATTTTACCATTAGGTAAATCATTAACCCTCTATACCTAAAGAAATCATAGATCATCTTTAACGATCAAAAACAAAGGAGATATAACCTAACAATCAATCGAATCCAAACCTAACCTATAAATTAGTTCCACAAATATTCTGTATCTCATAATGAGATACCCAAGCAATGTTAGGTGATTTTACTATTAGGTAAATAAAAAATGAATAAAAAACTGAGGAAGATCATAGTTATAGTTAACCGAATCCTGTAATTTCCAGTACGAAGTATGCTATCGACAAAATACAAGTAATTAACAACACGCAGAGAAAGCATGCGCATTACCAATGGCCGGTGGTACACTCTCATGGCTAATGGGCCAAGATATTAATTATGATTCATTCAGATAGTCATCAGATTAATGCACGCTGGCATAGGTTACCGTGGCGCACTCGCGCCAACTTGTTCAAGTATCGCCACAAGTGCATCCTAATGCTCATTGGTCGCTCTTTGTCTTTCTCTCTCGTCTTCTCATTTCCATATTACATACCTCGTTTCTCTTATTAATTTCATCTTACGACTCTCTACGCTCGCGATCCAACCTACACGCCTCTCTATCTTCAAGATCGCGGTTAGGCTCGGATCGCCCTCTCTCACGATCTTCCTCTTTCTGTTCCTTTATCTTATTCCATCTCCATCTCTGCGCCGCTTTCTTTTCCTCTCTCGGCAATCGTAACTCGATGTTACGTGTAAATATTATGGAAAGACCAAGAATACTTGAAGGGTTCTTCTAAGCCACTCAAGGTTCTAAGTAAATGTCCGAGTAACATAGCAAATAACCACGCTACCGGTCCGGGTTTAGCATAGATCCTTGTGCAAAGAGGTCCGTCAATCATGGCCAAAGGTCATATGCTTCTTTCATTATGCTTTCTATACGTTTGTTTCAGTTTGTAGCATAATATAGGGTTAGCCAAATTGAGTGTCACATCTTCAAATTGAAATGAAACACAAAGTATTTGATTTTTGTATGGTTACTTTATTTTAATACAAAGTCTATTTTGTGATATTAATTATGAAAAACAAATTTAACAGTCCTTCTCCGCTTTTCTTTGCGAGCTTGATACATTCGACCAAAAACGAATGAGTAATTTTTCACGAGGAGGAGACACCAATTGCCACCAAGATCGGATGATTTAACACCATTAGATTTTTTTATGGGGTTTATGGAAAGTGAAGTTTACGCAAATAATACAAATACGCTATTGATGAAATTGAATTCCACTTCTGTGAAAATATAATGAAAAATTGGGTGAAACGCATCAGGCTCGTGAAAAAAGCAGAGGAGGACATTTAAATAATATTGTCTTTGATAATTAATGTCATACAGTAGACTTTGTGTTAAAATAAAGAAACCATAAAAAAATCACATACTTTGGGT